CCTGCGACTTCTGAACACCTACATTTGCCCGAGGTGTTTTCACATGGTAACCCTCAAATCAGTAATCCCTCTGCTTCAACCAGGCGACTGGTTCATAGTTGTAGATCTCCAGGACGCATATTTTCATATCTTGATTCACGAATGGCATTTCAAATATCTCCATTTTCTCTTCATGGACATTGCTTACCAATTTTGTGCCCTTCCCTTTGGTTCGTCCACTGCTCCAAGGACCTTCACATAGTGTCTGGCTCCAGTTGCTGCCTATCTTCATCTGCACAACATCACAATATTCCCATATATAGACAACTGGTTGATAGTAGCACGATCACACAGTGCAGCCCGAAAGGACACTACATTTGTTCTACAGACTCTGGCAAATCCTGGCCTTCAAGTCAATTACAAAAAATCTCATCTTGAGCCATTTCAGACCACGGATTATATTGGGGTGCATCTCGATTCCATCGCAGCTAGGATGTTTCCCCCTCCAGAGAGAATACTGAGTTAAAGCGAGCAATTCGTCCCTTTTGGTGTTGCACCACAATCACAGCTCACCATACGCAGCACCTCCTAGGCTTCCACTATGTCTGTACTCCAACATGCGAGACTGGAGATGCGGTCCTTACAGGCCTAGTACCTATCCCAGTTCAACCCTCTGATAGACAATCCTTCCAAGTGTCTACTAGTGACCCCGGTATTAGCTCGGCAACTTACCTGGGGGACCTTCATCCCTTACCTCCTGGTGAGCTACCCATTCAGGCCTCTCCAGCTCACGGTACAGGTTACAACAGACACCAGTCAGACAGGATGGGGTGCACACTGTGGCCATCAAGAGAGCTACACTTTGTGGTCAAGCTCAGAGACTGCTGCACATCAGTCAAGTAGAGTTGCTAGCTGTCATCAAATCCTTCCAAGCTTTCCATTTTCTCATAGCTGGTCACGGGATCCTGGTCATCATGGACAATTTGATCACCTTGTATTATATCAACAAACTGGGTGGCACCCATTCTTTCCATCTTCTATATTTAGCGATTCAGCTGTGGGAATGGTGCTACAATCACCATGTCTTTCCGGTGGCTCTTCACATGGCTACAGAGAACAACCAAACCCACGAGTGGGCCCTCAGTGACACCATCTTCTCTCATCTCTGCAGTTGGTGGGGGACGCTGGGTCTTGATGTCTTTGCCACCCAGGTCAACTCCAAATGCAGCAGGTACTGCTCACAGGCAGGAAGAGGAGAGAACTCTCTAGGTGACACTTTCATGGTGGACTGGGGCAACAGTTATCTCTTTCCGCCCATTCCACTCATCCAGTGGACAATAAGGATCCATCAGCTGAACTCCAATGCCATTCTAGTAGCACCATGGTGGCCTTGACAACTGTAGTTCACCACTCTCAGAGCCATGGCTACCGACTTCCTGAGGTTATCTCATCAACTGTCCCTTCTCACTCAGGACGAAGGTCAGATTTGTCATCCTGACCTCGACTCTCTACACCTCACTGCATGGAGAATTTCCCCAATGTAGCTGAACTCTTAAATAGGACTAGGAAGCCTTCTACTCAATTACTGTACTAGCATAAATGGAACACTTTCATCAAGTTTGCTGCATCACGAAAATTACCCATGGTTCCTGTGTCTTTGGACACCCTTCTCCAGTTCCTTCGTTATCTGTTTGACCAAGGTTTGGCTCATTCAATGTTGAAAGTTTATACTTCTGCTATAGTTTCATATTAGCCTGAGGGGTCAGAGGCCTCTCATTTATTCTCTCATCCAATTTTAAAGAGATTTCTGAGAGGTTTGCGGAACATGCACCTACCTCCATGACCTCCACTTTCACAGTGGTCTCTCCAGGTTGTTCTCTGCGGACTCGCTCATCCACCATTTGAGCACATGATTTTGATACATCTCAAACTTCTTTCTGTCAAGACCTTGTTCCTTGTGGCTATAACTTCTGCATATTGAGCAAGCGAGCTGTCCACCCTTCGAGCTGATGCCCCTTACATTCAATTCTATCCCAAAAAGGTTGTCTTATATCCAGATGTGTCCTTTCTTCCCAAAGTGATTTCTGATTTCCATGTTAATCAACCTCTAATTCTTCTGATGTTATTTCTGTCTCCTTCTTCTGAAGTTGAGTGCATGCTCCATTCCCTCAATGTTCGTCGTGCCTTAGCATTTTACATTTCCAGGACTAATGAATACCGCACTTCCCCCAGACTTTTGGTGTGCTTCTATGACCCACAAAAGGGTTCTCCTGCCTTTTCACAATCTTTAGGTGGATTGTCTTTGCTATCACTTTAGCTTATGACTTGACAGGCAAGACTCCACCAGAAGTGCTGCAGGCACTATGGCTACGTCTATGGTGTGGTTGCATGGCGTTGAAGTCCCTGACATCTGTCAAGTGGCCACTTGGTCTACACCCTCAACTTTTGTGACACATTATTGTCTTGATGTCAGGGCCAAGAAGGAAGCAAGTTTTGGACAAGCTGTGCTGACTTCATTGTTGGTGAGAGGGACCTCCTTCCAGTAAGTGAGCTTGCTAGTCACCCATGTGTGTGCATTCACAGAGGCCATGAAGAAGAAAGAGAGGCTACTTATCTATAACCATGGTTCTTTGACCCTAAAATAGGTCAGAAGCAGCTCATATGTACTCAGTTGATTTAAATTTCATATGTAGAATATCATAAGACCTGCATGGTACAGAGAACTCTGTTTCAGTGGTCCGGTACCTTAAAAGAATATTGTTTTGCACAGTTTGTTTTTCTAATACATGTTTTTATGCAGACCTGTGCACATTGTGTGCTAAAAATATTCAGTTTGTACATCAAAGAATTTTGGTTGCATAATAAATTATGTAAACACATATTTATTTCATTCAGTCAATTTAATACTGCAACTGAATGTGCATAATAATTTCAGTTGTAATTATTGTAATTATTTGAGACTAGGCTCCACTGGGTGTTAGGGGATATTTGGATTAGCCATATCACTGTAAACAGTCCATGTTTTTTATTCCAGTTAGAATTTGTAATGTGATAGAGTTTATGGTATACCTAGGGGTATTACCTATACATCTTTTAAAATGGTGGAAACTAGTTTCATCTCTCAATGTGTTTTCTCAAAGTTAAGAGTCACAACAGAATCCATTTTTGTCACATAATACAGGTAAATTTTTTCCTTGTTGAAGTTTCATTGCTGTGATGTTTAGCAGTTATTTTGTCTTCCAAACCATTTTAGAACATTAAAACGTTTTACAGCATTTGTGTAGAAAGACACATTGTGTACTAGTAGCAATTTCATTCTCTGAAGTCCAAACAAGACAATACATTTAGCATATTTTTAGAAAAGGTTTCTTAAGTGATGAAAGAAGACTGTTTGTCGCAGCATATTGCTTTCTTCATGTATTTATCTTGCAATGTGTATTCTTTGTTGTTTGATAAATTATGGGAAAGTAAACAGACTTAATTTGCAAGTGTGATTTTTGAGAGATGTATCTCAGAAAAAATCCCAATGTGAGAGGGAAAACAGGTTAATCAGGGAATACAGTATGTGTTTATTGGAAAGCCTGGTTTACTCTTATGTAATTAAAATGTCACGATCCGCACACAAGCTGGGGATTTCAGGGACTTGGGGAAACAGCAAGGTTTGTAGGAGCACAGAAATGTGTTGGTGGGCACCATAACCCCGTCTCCCAGTAGTCCAGTGAGATCTAAGCTTACTCAGTTACCATAGAATGCAGCTCAGGAGAATGTGGAAAAGTAGAAATAGGAAGGAGAAATGGAATAGAGCTGTGCTTCTGGCCACTCCAACGTGGAGAATGGCCAAAACCATGAACAGGCTAACTCCACATGGCAGTTTTTTGTTGCGGGTCAGCAAAAATCCAGATAGCTCTTGAAAGAATTCAGGGGATATATGCATACATCTCAATTTCCATCCCATATATTCTGATAAGTGATGTTACCTTATTTCTGATGAGTTCAGCAACAAGAGAAAATAAGTATGCACTGGAAGGATGTAGGCAATTAACCCTGTCATTGCAAGACTCCCATCTTCCTGCAGAGCATGAAGATAAAGGAGAAGGTGTTGAGCAGGGATTCTGAGGGAATAACACCCCAGGAGAAGGAACAATGATTTCTTGGTCGTAACATTATTCAGAGGAATTTGTGCCCTAACCAGCTTTCGTTGGTCTGTGCCAAATATAAGCATTTGTGCCATGACTAAATCTGGCACCCAAATGCTCACTAGGCCTTTATG